CTGAAAGTGCCTTATCCAATTATAATTCACCATGGAATAATTGCTCTGTTGCATGGCGAATATTGGCCATGAAAGAATAACAAAGATAACAGCTGCACAAATTAGAGGAGGATTCGAGGCTGAAATTGCTGGGAGGACGATTTTCTTATTAGTCAATGACGGCTTGCATTCAAATTTGGTAGACCCGTGCATACTGGAGAACAGCGGAATTCGAAATGGGGGAAAAACAGTGTGCCCTGGATTCTATGGGAGCAGATAACCGAGTTCATTGAAGCCTTTATATCCAAGCAAATTGTACGCTGCGTCCGAGGGAGCTTTGTTAATCAAAGAACACTGTTTTGTTTCTCAGCCGGTACACGCAGGAAAGCTAGTACATTTTTCGGCTTGAAGCAGCTGTGGGGGAGATACAAGTATATTACTTACAAATGTGACCGATTCTTCAATGAATAAAAAAGATTGGTGTATAGTGGCCGGACCATTTTTTGTGCCGGGAGAACCAGAAACAATTGGCTCAAGACGGTGATGATTTTACTTAGCTTTGAAGTATGTTAGAGATAGCGTTGGATTCGATTCCGGGCAGTTCCGATACGGATCAATTCGTGGCAGTGGGTATGTTTCATTACGTACTGGACGTGTACTTCCTTGCCACCACCACCACCGTCCCACCAACGACGCCGATCCTGTTCTACCCAGCCCCCAGCGCTAGTGCCTCAAAGTACCGTTAAAACGAGCACCCACTCGAGGTCTATAATATTTCTAGAAACGATAACGTCTATTCGATCGCCACTGATTTGAATTTCATTTATGTCATGACTCACTTTGACTTGCGGACCGGGCACAATATATACATAGCTTCGACATGAAACCTAGCATCCAGCATGGCTCTCCCTACTCTGCTTGATCTCGACGAGAGTGGGTGGATGTTGTTTCATCTCATCCGATCCGGCGACCGAACTTCTCCAACGACCAACTCGGAATCTCGACGCCAGTGAGTAGGCGTGTGGGTTTTTCTCCAAAAGAAACGACTAAAGCTTGCGGCAGTCAATTGCATTCGGGTTGAGACATGGAAATCCCTCCGCATCTCGAAGCTAAAATCAAAATCCCCACAACCAGGGGCACTCAGCATTCTGCCTAGGATGGACCTCGACATTGTTTTAGAGGTCCGTAGACTCTTGCGCTTTCCCTTTATAACTTAATATCCTCCTAGATCCTACTATATCTGCACCCACTCGAGCTCCTTCAGATCTCACGCACGAGCAAGGCCTTCCACGAGCTCCTTCGCTTCCCTATTACCGACTTGACGTGGCGGAATTCGTTCGTGGTCGAGGACCTGCGTCGCGTTCTCACCCAAGGGATCGCAAATCGCGTCTGGGTCATTTGACTTAACTGTTCGACTGTGGGATGCGCAGACAGGCGCCATGATTGCGGGGCCGTTCGAAGGACACAGTCGTTATGTGAACTCGGTGGCTTTCTCGCCCGATGGAACTCGTATCGTGTCCGGCGCAGCTGATGCAACAATTCGGGTTTGGGAGGTGCGACATGGTCCTAATAACACTGCTCACCTTCAATGCAACTTATATCTGATTAGGTAGGAAATAGAGAAATTCTGGACCCGGAAAACCCATGCGGCGACGACCCAAAGTTCCGAGATGGTTGGATCACCAACGCCTCTTGGGCCAATTTCGAATATAAAATTGTAGTATTTAAGTACCCCCCCCCCCTTCATTCGAAAAAGGCCAGGCTTAGTAGGTTGCCGTCGGAGCCTGATAGTCATGTTCCATAGTTTTTGAGCAGAGCCACCCACAGCCACTGCCCACAGCCACAGAACATGAATATCAGGCTCTGACGGCAACTACTAGGCGGGACCCAGCGGCTCGTACTACCTCATGCTACCTGGCCAACAACTCCTGGCGGGACTCCGTATGTTATATATGGATCAAGTGCCCGCGGAACGCTTCGCAAAGTGGAGTATCTGACAGATCGAACTGTTTACCCCTTTCCAGGTACCAACTGAATTCAAACCTAACGATACTCAAACCTAGGAACACCCAGTCAGCATCGTTGGAACTATCTTAGTATCAGATACTTTCCATGACGTTGAGTCGACCTATAAGAATCAGCAACCCTGCGCAGTCCAAACCAGCACTCAGGATTGCAGCCATTTTCGTCTCTGTCCTCGCATTCCTGGCAGCCACTGCACTCCAAGCCAAGACTGGAATAATCGTTTGCAAATTCCGTAAAATATTCCCATCCTACTCTAATCATATCCAGGTCCCTTTATACTCCTACCCAGATCACCGCCAAGAGGTATTTTTGGCCATCAAACCCTCAAGGCGCGAAAGCGCGAACGACTTTCCCCGGCTTTAGGCTCACCACAAGGGCAGTTCTGGGAGATAAAATACGATTTTCTAACAGAGGGTGACGGTATTAGGAGAAGGTTACACAATAACCAAGTATGCTCGAGCTCGAACCCAGATCCCATGCTCCTTGTAATTGCTTTATTTAACCTGGTCGAATGAGCTCCAGTAGCACCACGAAATCTCGGGAGAATACCGCTCAATAATGAATAACCGAAGCTTTCTGTGGTTTGAGAATTATACCTGTTGTGAGATATTTCGTGAATGAAATGTAGACAGGATCCATCGATACACCATTCATTTATGAATCCCCTCCGCCTTAGCTTAAGCTGGGAGCGTCTCAACAGAAAAATCTTAAGCTGTAATCTAAGCTGAGCTGGCTTAAGCTGAATAAAATCGTCTATATACAGTAGGCATGCACTATAAGAATGGTCCCGCTTAAGCCAGCCCAAAAACTGCCGTCGACGTCGCTCCCAGCATCTAAATTAAACCCTCTTATATCCCCAAGTTCAAGCCAGCTCAGCTCAAAACTCAGGTGACCCAGCATCTAGCTTGAGCCAGCTTAAGCAGTCAGCTCGGAATTCACTCAACTGGATAGCAAACTGCGAGTCAGCTTGAAGTCCGCGCTGCATATCCGCCGCCCACAGTTCGGGTCTCCAACCCGGCGCAGATGGAAAAAGCGACTTCAGAAGGACGACGCCACTGGCAGCGCTGCTCAATTTGAAGCTCGAAGGCAGGGCCGAGTGGCATAATTTTGGCACCGTGGCGTCCGCAGTGCCGGAGACAGTGTTAACCCGCGCCAGCATTTAAACCAGTTCTATGCCTATCAAAAGAATTTAGAGGATACAAAGAAGCAGTCCTGCAACGTTGGGGAGCGAGATGGCCCGTCGAGAGCAAAGAGCGAAACAAAGAGGCATTTGTTTGGACCTTGTTTGTGATCGAGCACGCTGATGATGAATTGATTGATGGCAGCCAAACAAATCTTTGTCTGTTCCTCCTGCCACGACGACGCACCAAGTCGACGAATTTTCAAAGGAACAGCGCTCCGAATCCTCCATGTATCGGTCTCCTCTACTGATGTTTCTTTCGCACAAGAACAGGCCCGTGCGCACTGCGGACGGTAGAAATCGCGCACTTGAATGCCACTCAATCATGTTGTGTAGTATGTCTTACCTCTTTCTCCCTCTAGTGTACTAACTATATATCTTCGGATTTCTGTCTAGAGGCGCTTGTTCAGCCCACCCTCCTCTTCGCATACCGCCAGCGGCCACCTCGAATTGCGGTGCCACTCATGTTTCACATGTGTATTCCGCAACACATTCGAGACTATCGCCGCCGCCATCTGGGAATATCAATAACCGGCTCCAGTGTTTAGCTGGGTGCTGCCTAGAGTGGCAGTTCTTGAGCTGTGATTGGGCATTGAACTGATTTTGAGCTGGCTTAAGCGGGGCTAATGTGGTCTATATTACGCTGTATATATTTTTATCCGTCGCAGCTTAAGCCCAATTCAGCTTAAGTTTCAGCTTAAGATTTTTCAGTTGAAACATCCCCAGCTTGAGCTAGGCTGGAGGGGTGACAGGGAACCCCAGCATTTACTCAGGGATTTGATGAGAAATTAAAGTGAGGGTGGTGTAGAACACACAGCTGAGACCTAAGTCCTCCCTTTCCTCAGTTGGAGTTCCGGGTTTCGACTCCCCGCCCATCTGTAAACATTAAACCCTCATTAAAGGATGAATCTTCGCAGATCGAATGCCCCTATGGAATTCTAGCATTCAACGACGAAGAGGTGTGCCTGGCGTTCGGCCCTCTTGCATAAATCACCGCGCTTTGTGTTTTCATATATATAAAGCCAAAAGGAGCTCCGGCCTCAGTCTTATGAGCAGATATTCGTGCACATTCATCCATAGATTGGGTGGCAGAATAAGGCACTACACATATTGATTTGGGGTGCCCTTCTTTTCAATTTAAAGCTTTCCATCATTTGTTTCCTTCTCTTCTATTTCTTTAATAGTAAGTCCATCCAAATCCCAAGCATGTATTCGTGTTTTCCGTGAAGGAAGAAAGCATGGGTTGTGCAGGGTGCACACAGGTGATAAATACGACCGGAACACTTATGCTTGTCAAACTGATTCCGGGTTTCGACTCCCCGCCTATGCATTTTTCTTTTTTGGAGAGCAGAGCTAATATTTTAATACGGATGGCTGAGCCGCATTCGTATTTGGTATCCTTGTCTTCCTAAAAGAAATGTGTACGGGTCCCTCTGTGAGCTCCATGCGCAATGTCAATGCCATGTGAAATTTAGACCGACATTGAATTGCGGTCCACATATTCAATAATTGGATGGACAAAGGAAGTGTGGGTGGTGTACGGAACATGCAGCTCGGAATATATTGTTGTCCGCGTGTCAAGTTATTTCGGGTTCGACTCCCCGCCCAGGTGTAAGCACTTAGTTTCTCATTTTTTCTTTCTTTTTGAATAGCTGACATAGACCATAGACGGCCTGGGTCGCACCGCAGTTCTTTGCGAACGGTCACGTCGAACTCCGAATGGTTATGTACCCCGCATCTCCCTTGGTCAATTTTTGGTTATCAAATAAACCGAAAGCAATCCTGCGTGTATTAAGGAATTCGATGAGTCAGGAAAGAATGGGTGGTGTACGGGCCACACGGTTGTCTTTTGCCAAGCCGATTCCGGGGTTCGACTCCCCGCCCACGCGTTAGTTTGTGGGCCTGACTTCTGTCAACAGTAAGTGCTTGTTCCGGTAAGTATAATGCTTTTCTGGTAAGTTAAGTACATTGTGTAGACGGATAATCTGGGTCGCACCATATTTGTGCGGGACCTTGAAAATTTGGTGGTTATTTGCCACCACTTCTCTCTCGGTGCCCTATGCGCCAGGTTTGGGATCAGCAATTGAAGGGATGTATCATAGCATTCAGTGAAGGAAGAAAGCACGGGTGGTGTATGGTACACACAGCTCAGAAATTGATCGGAAATTCTGGTCTTTGCCAAGCTGATCGCAGGGTTCGACTCCCCGCCCAGGCATAGTCGAGATCGGGGTTTTTTTTTTGTATAAGTGACACCAACGGACCACATTTATGCGCCGAGTCCTCCCCACCCACGTTGTGTGATCGCTGATGCTCTCATTTTGTTGTGTACTATTTCGCTCTCAATCTGACAACGTTAACTCAATTGCTCCCAATCGACGCTATGGAACTCCTGCAGGTATTGAGGGATTTAATAGAGGAAGAAAAGCTACATTAATCTATGGATACTTGGTTTTCTCTCTCAATAGCCAATGCATCCTTTTTCTGGTACGGAGGCCTGAAATCTTATGTACTTCACGGTTCCCTCGCGGGAGAGCTATGTCAATATGCCATGTATGTGCCAACAATTGGATTTAGTTTGATGTATCCTCAAGAATTTAATGGAATACAAGAAAACAGTTCGATACCTCCACACATGCCCGCCATCGGTCAAAGCGTTGCCTAGTTCGGTCCGATCGGCGGGCCGGAAGTGGAAAATTAAGAATGACGAGGCATGTAGCCTTTATAGTACGTGGAGTACGGAACGCAATATTAATATCCAATGGCCTGCCACCTTCCGACTTCAAATGCTACAACCAAAAGTAAAGAAGGCGGTCGATCGGTCGATCCGGTCCGAGGTCCGGGTCCTGGAAACAGGAAGAAGCGTCGTTAAAATCGCAAGAAAGGCGTCCAGCGACCGCGAAACGGCCGCTCGAGCCTCCTAACGTCGACATGCCGGCAAGCGCCAACTTCCCATGCGTATTGATCAAGATTGATTGCATCAGGAACATTTGATGACCGTCTCTCATACCACCCAGCCTAGTCCAGCGCTTCGACCACTACCACTCAAGCTGCTCACACACCACCACCTCTACACGACCGACGATGGAACACGGCCGCTTCACGCTCTTCTCCGACGACCGCCTCCCCGCGCGCCTCCTTCGCGCACCCGAACGCGCCCAACGCGCAGTCCTCCCTGTCCAACTCCAATTCGTATCCGCCATCCAACGCCAGCGCCACGCGCCTCAAAGAAGGGTACAACCTGTACGCCAACGCCCCCGCAAGCTCGGGCGCCCGTAGCACGTACGTACGGCAACACCTACCGCGGCGCAGGCACGAGTAAGCGCAAGCACGCGTTGGGCCTGGTGGCGCTTGCCGCGCTCGCTAAACGAGTCGTGGGGCGGGACAAAGTCTATGAGCTCATCTGGGTGGGTCATTCGTCCTGGAGCATGGTGCGTACTTCTCTTCATTTTCATCTGTTTTCTCTTTCCCCCATTTTCTTGCCTGTCACTTATCATTCCTTGCGCTCTCCATTTCGTTCTCGGTTTTCTTTCAATTCAATTCATTCTTCACTGTCCGTCTCTCCCCTTTGTATCCCCGCGTCTTCGCGTTTGCGTGGCTTGTGTGCAGCCGCCTGCTGCGTGATATGTGTGGCGTGACTTGTGGCTGAAAGTTATCTGGGGCGCTCGCGTTAAAGCTTGCCACACCACCCCTTGCTACGACATCGAACGGAGCCGTAGTGGAGCCCGCCTGTGCGCGCTCGGGGATGCGCAAACTGACGCACCACGTGTCGGGCTACCTGGCACGGAACTTGTCGGGCTACTCAGGCCGGCGTTCTCGAGCCTGGTGCGGAGATTGGGGCTGTCTAGTGCGCGGCTTCTTTCCCCGCCCACTTTTTCTCCTCTTCCCGTCGTCTTCGCCCGTTTTCGCATTTTTTTGGGACGAGAAGGTGTACATGCACGGCCTTCACCCCATCCCGTCCTCGCTTCTCCCTTTTTAAAAATCTGTTTTATCCCCCTTTTTGTTATTATTCTGTCTTATCCCCCATCTGCGCGCGTGGGCTCGGGTGATATCCTATTCCCGGGCGCAGCTACAGGGTGTTTAAGTGCTGCGCGCGCCATGTATGGCCTGAGACGCCATGTGTGGCGCCACGCGTAGCTGCCGTAGGTAGCGTCCCGCGCCCCGCCTGCGCTTGTGATATCCGACGTAGCCCTCGCTCGGGAACGGGTGAATTGATGCCTCGCACGACGTTCGCCTGTGCGATGTACAGCTGCTCCACACGATGTATGACGTGCTGCGCGCTCGACGTCCAACCGAGCGTGCCTGCACTTACTTGGAGATGGGACGCGCTACCTACTGCGCGGCGTGTCGTCTTCTACCCGTATGTTTTCGAAAAAGCTTGCCTCTCCCTTTTTAAAAAAATTTGTTTTATCCCGTTTATATCCCCCTCTGCGCGTGTGGCTGTTTGGGTACCCAACTCATGTCGTAGGCGCCCCACCAATTGGCGCCGCAGTCGCCAGTCATTGTGCCATCCCACACCTCGCGCGCGCACTATATGCTGCGCCACATGGCAGCCGTGGGGCGGATCGCGTGGCTGGCGTATGTCGCGCTACGCTAACCGCGCCTCGCTTGCGCCGCGTCCAATTGCCAGTGACGTCGCCTTCGCGATGTATGGCGCGCCGCGTGCCTGACGTCTAACGTAGCCCTTCTGGAATGACGGCCGCGTCTTTTATCGCACCACACACCCTTTCCCTCCCCCCATCCCGCTTCGCTTTCACCCCCTCTTTACTCTTTTATTTTCATTTGGCGGGCGCTTTCCCGTTTCCCGGCTTCGCAGTGTCTTGCCAAGTTCCCTTTCGCACCCCCGAACTCTCTTTACACTGCATTCTTGGCGTGTACTGATCTTTCTTTTATTCAGTCGTCTCCCCCACCCTCTTCCAGGCCTACCCCGACGCGCTGGGCGAGTGGGCGCTCGCCGAGGCCATGCGCGCGGACTGCAAGCTCGAGAGCATGGTGAAGAAGCATTATGATGACTTTATTGCGAGTGGCTTTCTTCCTCTTTTTTGGGGGCTTCTGTTTTATTTTTTGTGGGGGGGAACGGGACTTTTTAGAGGGTTCTTTACTCTTCCAGCCGTTTTTTTTTTTGAGTCGGGCTTTTGCCCGCCCTGTCGTTCGTCGCGCTTTACCCCGCCCTTACGTTGGGGTTTTCCTTCTTCTATTACTCCCCCCCCTCGCGGTCGTTGCAGGGATTCATTGGCGCTTGTGGGGGCTTTCGTGTCTGTTGTCCCTTCTTGTTTTGTGCGTTCGGTTGTATTGGCTTGTCTCCCTTTTTTCTTTTCCTTTTCGCGTTCGGCGGTACTAATTTTCACACCATGCGTGCGGATTTGGCCGTGTGCCCAGGTTTAGCGGTGGGCGCTGTGCGCGGCGGGCCTCGGTTTCGTTCTATCCTATTTCTGCAAGTGGGGGGCACGGGAGTGAATGCCCGATGTCGCGCGGGCGTCGGTGCTCTGTTCTCGCGGCGCAGACACTTGTCAATTTTGTATGGGCCGGGAGCGGCACGGGGGTATCTCATGACATGTCGTTTCTGGCGCGCGCCGCGTGCCGGGGGTCGTGTTCCCTTTTGCGGCCCTGCGTCGTGGAGCTGTTTTCCCGTGCTTTCGGCCACGCGACTTGCCAGTCGACGGGAATTCCGCGTCTGGATTCGCCACACAGGCATCACGCGATGCGTGCGAACCTCAGCGAGCGCGCGAACACCCATTCGCGCGGATTTTATTTTATTTCTCACATATTCTCTCTCGCCTTCATACTGCTCGACTCGACGCCACGCGACGTATTCGTTTGGCTTCATCTCGTTTGCCTTCTCACCGATATCGCGCGCTCGAACTTGCGCCTGCCTCATCTTCGCGGCGATCTTGTGAACCAGAGCGCGCGCATCATGCTCGTTTGACGCCCATGTAAACTCGCAGCACGCGTTCAGGTGAAATCGAACGCGGTGCGCACCCTATTCTCCCTTCCCGTATATAACAATATAAATTATCATTATTTTTGTACGAGTTAATATGAGCTGCTGTACTGCCGCTTCTGTCTCCCTCTTATCTGGATAATTGGGTACAGGGACCGTCTTTCAGCTGAAATTTCTGTGATTTGCGTTTTTAAATCGAAGCCGGACATCATGAATCGTGATCAAACGTGCTCTGGACGCAATGGGAATCATGCCGGCAATTGTTCGGCAAGCAATTTTACTATATTTAGGTGGGCGGCGATGGATAATTAACCGTTCTTTAAGCAAATGCTCGCCAATTCTTTGTATCTGTTTGGCTCTATCTCCATCGGGATTATCCCCTTCGTTCTCTCTCCCTCTCCCTACTCATTCGTCAATGTCAAATGACCCGCGCGCAGTCTGAACGCCCCTCAACAACACCGCATTTGTATGCCTCGAAGCTCCAATTCATCCCCGATTTCACACTAGGCCCGAGATTTCCGATGCGATGCGACCTGCAGAGTCACCGCCGGCGGCAGAAGATATCACGGATTGGGCTAGAGGAGGCAAGGACCAAGTCGCGTGAGTCCACAGCTATGAGTATTTCTGGAATGACACGTTGCCACAGACAGCGATACTGCGGCCACGTATGTTCATTAAATGTATAAAAGCGATGCATTCTAAGCACTTTCTCCATCCCTGCTTCCTTCACTCACCTCTTCCCTCTGATTGCTCAAATATACGAATGATCTGTTTCGCACTCAGATTGGAACCTCAATATCCGATGCAAGATTCAACTGCAAACAAATTCTACCTGCCAATGCTGTAGCTACTACCTCAGGCTTCCTCTCAAATGCGTGAATATTTCTGGGTTCATTCTGGGGTCCCTTACTATTGGGATCTGTGGGCTGTAGACAATCTTTGCCAATCTCC